CATTATCATTGCCGTCGCCACCCCATCACCACCTATGCCACAACAACCACCACCTCCACTACTGTCATTGCCACCACCCCTACCACTGCTACTGCCACCATACCACCACCATCACCAACACACCACCACCGTCGTTGTTGCTGCTACCATCACTACTGTCGCCATCGCACCCCTACCCCCACCCCTACCACCACCTCCACCGTCGTCATTGTCCCACCACCGATTGCTATTACCGTTGTTCACTGCTACCACCCACCACAATTTTCATCTCATTCTTATATTTATTACCATTATCACCATCGCCCACCATCAATACCCACCACTACCATTGTTGCTCATCACCACCCACCAGGCCTACTATCATAACCCACCACCACCCATCATTACCCACCATCATCGTCAGTCACTGTCACTCACCCCCATCAAACATACCACTACCAACTACCACCACCAATCGTCATCGCCCACCACTGTCACCCACCCCTACCAAATTTACCACAACCACCACCGCTATTTACCACAACCCATCACACTGTCGTCCAGAAGCACTCATTGTCGCTCACCACTTCCATCATCACTGCCCACCACCACCACTGCCAACCACCATCATCGTCGTCCACAACCACTACCAACGTCACCCATGACTGTCACTGTCACTATCGTCATAAAAAATCCACCACCAGTATCATCATTGCCAGTCATGACTGTCACCATCACCACGATCGTTGTCACCTACGACAACCATCACCGTCTCTCACCACCACCACCACTACCCCTAATATAACCAGTGCTTAAATTCTTTGCTTTACTTTATGTTTGTAATTTGATTTTGGGTGTGAATATAAATATATTTATTTTGAACCATTTTTTTTTATTATTTTATGCTTTCAGACATAGACAATAATTAGTTTATATAATAAAGTACAATACAATTCAAATCTCAAAGGATAAATAAAATGACTTTTACTTTTCGGGATTGAAATTTTTTTAAATTTTATTTTAAAATTAATCTGACGGTTAATATTGACACCCTAAATTTAATAGGAAAAATAAGCATTTAAAGGTGTGTTTGAGGTGATTTTTAAAAATACTTCTAGAACTTATAACTACTCATGAATACATTTAAAAAATAATTAATAATATTTGGAACTGCTCCACCACCCTATCCCCATCGCTCCACCACCATCACCACTGCCACCACTACTGTTGTCGCCACCCCATCACCACCTCTGCCAAAACAACTACCACCTCCACTGCTGCCGTTGTTACAACCATTACTGCCACCCCACCACTACCACTATTGCTACCACCCTACTATCACCACCACCACTGTCGTCGTCGCCATTGTTGCCGCCGTCACAACTACTACTGCCGTCGCCACAACTATTGTCGCCATTGCTACAACTACTGCCGCCATCCCACCACCACCACCACCGCAACCATCCCACCACCACCACCACCGCAACCATCCCACCACCACCACTACCCCCTCCGCTGCTGCTGTCCCATCACCATCACCATCACCACCCATCACTGATTGCTATTATCATCGTTCACCGTCACCACCCACCACAATTTTTATCTCATTCTTATATTTATTATCATTATCATCGTCGCCCACTGTCACAACCCACTACTACCATTATTGCTCACCACCACCCATCGCTACCCACTACCACAACCCATCGCCGCCCACTACCACAACAAACCATCACCCATCATTGTCCACCATCGCCGCCAGTCACTGTCACCCAACACCATCACACGTACCACCACCAACCACAACCATCTACCACCACCAATCATCATCGCCCACCACTATTACCACCTACTGTCATCTACCCCTACCACACTTACCACCACCACCTCCACCACTATTTACCACAACCAATCACATTGTCGTCCAGAAGCACCAGTCGTCGTCCATTACCACCATCATCATTGCCCACAACCACAACTCACCATCGTTGTCGCCCCACCACCACCACTACTAACCACCATCAATGTCGCCTACAACAACCACCACCGTCACTCATGACTATCATTACCATCATTGTCACCAAAAACCCCCCACCAGTATCACCATTGCCACTCATGGCTACCACCATCACCACAGTCGTCGCTACCCACCACAACCACTATCACCGTTCACCCTCACTACAACCGATTCTTAAATTGCTTTCTTTCCCCTATGTTTGTAAATTGATTTTTGGGTATGAATACAAATATATTTATTGTTGACAATTTTTTTTATTATTCAGTGCCTTCAGACACAGATAATAACTAGTATACATATATAATAACATATCAACCAATCAACTATTCCAAAAGTTTAAGTTTTGAGTGATGACATATATTAAATATGTTTCTTATAGTTGTGAGTATTTATTTAAAGCAACCTTTATTTTGCTTTGTTGCATTTATTTTTTGGTTTAGGATTGCTCCATTCTTCATATTGCTAAATAGTAATTGTTACTTAAAAGCACCATAACAAAATGGTTTTTGGTGACAACTAAATTCAGCACTAAATGCTAGTTCTTCTTTGCTAAACAACTTCGGTAATGACTAGTCCCTTGTCACCAACTTTTTTTAGCGACAAAGTTCAATCTCTTCGGCAAAGATGCATTTATCCATGAGAACTTGTGCGACACAAAAAAAAAAAGAAAAAGAAAAAGAAAAAGAAATTGAAGCTAGTTCACACCAATAATGGTCATCCTTGTAGAAAATGCTGTATTTTAAAATAAAGTTATTTTTTTGGCGAGAATACATAATGATAGCAAAAACTTTGAACACTTTAGTGACGAATAGTGCTCTTACAAAAGATTGAAACTTATAGGTGATGAAGTAATGATTGTTGCCAAAAATTTTATTGTAATTATGTGCGATGAAAAATGTTATGCGGCAAAAAAAAAAAAAAAGTTCGTCATCATTATTTTAATCTACAATTGTTTATGGTATACATTTATAATCAACTTTGCTATAATTTGTTTTGTTTAATTCTTAAACCTTAACACACAAATAAATTGCTTACTGTAATAAAATTGGCGTAATTAAAAAAATCTATTCCTGTACCAATATATAAGCCATGCAAAATGAGTATTTAAGTCTACCAAATAATTCGGTAAACAATTAATCAGATAGATTAAAATTATCAATTCGCAAAACCAACTCTATGTAATCCATCATCAATTTATGACAGCCAAGAACAAAACGTGATATCTCAATGTTGATAAATGGTAAAATACAAATGTCTATCAAAATATAGCCAAATTTTATACATAAGTTCGTGTGTTTGGATGTTTTTGGTTCCAAATCCCGCACCAGATTTCTTAATGGCACGTTGTTTGTTTACACAAAGTTGTTTGAGGCCAAGCAAGGTTTTCTTGCTAGTTTCGTGGAAGTCTTCAAGTTCTGGCCCCAATCACTCTATTTTGAAGTCTTGTTTCGGGACCACGTTTATTCCCACAGGTTTGTTTAGGCTTGAGTAGGGATGGTAGTGGACCGGGTAAAAATGTGTATTCATTCAAACCTCCCCCTCCGGTTTGGACCAGGGATGAATCATATATTTTGGACGATAGATGTATACGAGAACACTCGTATAAACCCGTGCGGGGATGAAGGCGGAGAAAGACTGACACTTACCCCCGCCCCCGCTTTACCCGTTATTATTATTATATATATATATGTTGTTGTGAATACAAATCTACATATTATTGAATGATTTTTTTTTTTTTTTGGAATTTTTTTTGTTTTTTTGATTATTTTTTCTTCATATTTTTAGCTTGTAAAAATATAGATCTTTGTTTTTTTATGTTAGATTATGTTTATGTTTCATTATGTTCTGTTGTATGATATTGTGTTGGATATACATGGGAGACAGGATTTTAATTATATTAATTATATTATATTGGATTATGTTGTAGATAAGGTTTTAATTATATTATGTTGTAGACGACAAACTTTTAATTATGTTATAATATTTTCTAATTATGTTGGATTATTTAAAATGTTAGATTTATTTAGAATTTTGGATTGTGTTGGCTGAGGCTGGGGCTGGGGTGGGTAAGGTGGACAAGGGTGGGGGTAAAGGCGGGGGACGGGGGCGGGGGTTATAAATTTACCCGTAGACGGGGATGAAGATGAAAACTATACCCATTAATGGGGGTGGACTGGTGATGGATGGAGTTTTTTTAAACGGATACAAGGATGAACTCCCCCACCCCCACCTCCACTTCGATCCACTGCCATCCCAAGGCCTGAGAAAGTATCTTTGTGCTTAGAGGTGGCATGTGGGTGGGTTGAGTTGGTTATAGGTTAGACTAAATTGGGTTGAACTAAAATAAATCTAATTAATTTTTCACTCACATAGTAAATGGGTTGGGTTTATAACAGATTGAGTTAAATCTATTAACCCATAAAACACAAATACACACAATTATATCAATATAAACACACACAATTATACCAAACTACACATACACTACTACACCAAAATACACATATACACTACTACACCAAAAAACACACATACGCACACACTATTACACTAAAATACACACACTACTACACCAAAATACATGCATACACACATACATACTATTACACCAAAATACACAAAAACATACACACACACTTACACCAAAATAAACACAAATTGTTACACCAAAATAAACAAACAGTAATCAACAAAAAAATATACATACACAGTGCCGCACGCACACACATAATCTTGAAATAATATGACATACAAACACTTACACATTGACAAAATAAAAACAAAAACACAATTTGCGTTCCATCTTATAACATATTCCATACTAATAATTTCACAGTAATCCTTCATCATAACAAGAAAAATCCAAAAAAATATACACATAACCATAGCACATGTCCCCTTATCATTTAATACTGACAAGTTGGGTCAAGCAAATGGAACATATGCTCCACCAAACATTAGTACAAATTTAAAAAGAATATTACAAAATCTACTATAAGACATGCTATTCATTGTCAAATATTGTGTCAAACTTCACTTCCTTCTTTGAAAAACCTTCTTCATCCTAAACCAAAACAAAAAAAATTGAATATAGTATAAGACCCTAAAGGAAAAACTAAACCAAAAGTTAAACCAAGTTCACAATAATCACAAAAAACCTTACATATCCATTTTCAGCATCATTATTAGACTCCACACCAACTTCCCAAGATTCATTCCGCATCATTTGAAGAGCCACCAAATCTAGAAATTAATTTCTCAACATCAATTGCAAGTTCCCCCTCATCTGAATCTTCTTGAACTGCTAATAGCTAGTGCATAACTTTAAATTCCAATGTTGCAAATCTCAAAACAATTAATTATAATATTAGCATGAAATTGCAAGAGTTAATTTTACCATCTAAACCATGTAACCAATCTTGAGTGCATAATAATGCCTCTACATTCTTCGGCAAAATTGAACTACGATATTTTCCAAAGATACGATTTGCAATACTAAAAGTTGACTCTAAGACAACTATAGTAATGGGAATGCTCAACACATCACAGATCATCAATGGAAGCTCCGGATACCGGGTCCTATTTGCTTTCCAAAAACTTAGAACATCCAACTGCACATTTTGTCTTTGATTAAGTAAGGATTCTTTTAAGTATAGGTCCAACTGTGATTTATTTATGTTCAATCCAGAACTTTCTTTCTCAAATAACTCAAACTCCTATATTAATATAAACACAATATATAAGAAAATTACTAATAAATCTACCAAAGTATAACTATGACAATTATTATAAAAATAAATAATTAGTGATGTTACTTACATCCACTTCATTTTCATATACTCCACTAGAAGCATTTCTCATTGTCGTTGGATTAGTTGCAAAAGCAGATGAGGAGAAACACTCGTACTCTTGAAAGAGTGAATGCAACTTCATCCGAACATTCTTTATCTTTTCTTCACATGTTTCAGGATCAAGCTTTGCAAATGCAAATTCAACAAACTTTAACTTGTAATGATGATCAAGCACTATGGCAAAGGAAAACATATGCTATAAAAATCCCAATACTTGTCAAATTTCCCCTTCATTTGTTGTGCCATGGAACTTATAACTTTATTTAGACTATTTAGTCCCTCTAGTATGGGTGTTTGAATTTTCCATAAGCTATGAAAATAAAAATTTGAAGTGGGATATTGACTTCCTGAAAATGATGTTGTAATGTCATACAAAGTTTTGAGAAACTTTGTTATCCTTTCAACCATGTTCCATTCCTCTTGTGATGAACATGTTTTGAAGTTAGTATCAACTGGCAGAACGCTCGACAACATAATAAAGCACATTCAAGTTAGGTTGAATTCCATCTTGTTGGCACGTCTTGGCATACTTTCTTACCACTTTTTATGGACAATTGTGCAATCACTTCAAGAATTTAGGGTTTTTGCATCACTTTTTTTTTTGAAACGAAATATTTATAGGGGCAGAATTTTTTTTTTTTGTAACGGTTCTTGATGCTGATGTTTAAAATGGTATATTTGCAATAGGAAATCGTTGCCGTGGAAAAAAGTATGATTTTTAATTTTTTTTTCTTTTTGCGTTGGTTTTTTTCCTATTGTAAATCCTAAACCAGAACGACGTTTTATTAGTTCTAATTACCAAAATGACGTCATTTAATACAACTACTTATTAAAAAGGGTAAATTACATCAACACTCCCTTAACATTGTCACTAAAACACATTACATTGACATCTCCCAAAGTTTGTACGCGTGTAACACATAAATCCCTATCATTAAAAACCGATTGAAACATTGCCAAACTTTGGTTATGTTACCATATTTTAAGAATTTAATTCCCAAAATACCCTTATAGAAAATAATTAAAACCAACCCACTTAATTCACTTAATTTTGTCAGTAGTCGGCTGTTACTAAGAGGGGGTGTCAATGTAATATGTCATACTTGAGGGGATCTGTGTGTTTTAGTGACAAAATTTAGGGGGTGTAGATGTAATTTACCCTATTACTTTTCTTTTCATCCAATTATAATTCACATGCCTTTTCTCTCTACGCACGTCTCCTCCTTTTTCTCCAGCTATGACTCTTCACTCTCTCTCGATCCCTCTGGTTCTCTCTCCCTTTGTCTCTCTAAAATCGAGCAAGCCCAAGAACTCGAAGTCAAAGCAACCACTCCATTGCCAAAGAAAGACGAGGACAAGGACAAGAACAAGAATAAAGAGAAAAGCAGTGGTAGAGAAGAGAATAAGAAGAAAGAGGCCAAATACAAGCCAAAAGAGAAAAATTCCAAGTAGGTTAGTTACTACTACTTTGCATTGATTTTCTGATTCCTCTCAATTTCTTAGCGGGTTTAGGTAACATATACATCATTTGACTGGCCAATTCAACCAAAATGAAATTGATTTCCAGCAAAATCACTTTGTTTTTCGAATAGATTATGTGTGATAATCCTATATATTGAATTGTTTTGTATTTGTAATTGTTTAAGTGGGTTATGTATAATTGTGCCTCCAAGTGTTTGTTAAATTGTCCCTAAGATTAATCAGAAAGGATTTATAAAAAATTTGTACAGGATTCATGGTAATCACTGTAGCTGGATCATCAATGGTGAATTATGGGTTACACTCATAGAAATCTATACTCAGGCCACCGTAATGAATTGGCACTTGCTGTAAAGATATGTATCTATTTCACCAATCGAATACAAGCAAAATCAATCCCACCATTAAAATAGAGGTAGTAATAAAAATGGCCACTTAAACAATAATTTCCAATAGACAAAACTGAAGTCTTCACACACTTTTTTTTTTTTTTAAAACAAAGCAATTTTTTTGAATGAATCTCAAATTTTACAAGAATAAAAAAATAGCAAAAAAACTATTTACAAGCAAAACAGGAAAATTGCTACAAGTAAAATAGAAATTATGTTACAAGAAAAAATAGAGTTTTCTATTTTCAAGATTAACAAAAATCTATTACAATGACAACCACTAAGAAAAGCCATTTACAACTTTAAACCTTCAAAATCATCCCAAGTCATCATCATTACTCCACCAAAATTTTCACAATACTCTCCCAGCAGTACACTCAATATTAGAGGTACAACAGAAGGGATCAACTGTAAGTCAGCCACTGTTCCAACCTGCACAGACATTCCTAGCTTAGCTCAACACCTCCTAATCCTTACATATCATCCATAATCATAAAAAACAGAACATTTTTTGCTCTCAACACAGGCAAACACCTTTGATCTTGGACAATTTTATTAATCACAACAATAGGCAACTGACTGGACACAGGAAAATCTAAAGAGAAGCTATTCCATACTGCAAGATTAGCCAAAGCATCAGCAACATAATTAGCTTCCCTATATACATGTACCAACTGAAAATTCATCTTACTAAGCAACTGCCTAATTTGGATCAAAGTATCCAAAAAAGGCCAGGCACATCTCACCCTTCCTTTCACAATATTCACCAAAACCACATAATCTGATTCAATCTCAATACCATACACAATCAATCCATATATGTCTATCAATCTCAAACCATCCAAAACTGCTTTGAATTCAGCACCCATATAGAACAGACACCATAGTAGAAAGAAGCAACCAATACCATGCCCCCTATTCAATTCTCACCACTACTCCACCACCTGCATTCCTAGGATTTTCCTTAGCTGCTCCATCCATATTCAATTTTAATACCCTAGCAACAGGAAACATCCACCTTACCCAAAGTACTTTAGTCTTCACCACATAAGGTAATACAATTCCCAATGATTGTAAAATCATTCTACCATTATCATTTTCTAAGACCCTTGGTCTCACACTTCTTACTTGTAACCTCAACAGACTACTTATCTTCAAGAATATTGAATAAGAATTCAATTTTCCCTCACCAGCCCTTAGCCTACACCTTTCCTTCCATACTAAGTCTTCACACACTTGAAAAGGGTTTCTGCAGTGCTCTTTGGCCTAGAAAATACAAATTTGCTTTTGGTCCTCTGGGTCAGGAATGGACTGATCATCGTGCAGAAAGCTAGATACCACCAAGGAACATTGATGAACACCTTCAGCACCCCAAAACCACAATATATTTAATACCAAACCAAGCATTTAGACTTATCCTAATAAGCTCTAAATAGGAATCACATCTAACTGAATCACAAAACATTCACTGACATACAAGAATGAAAATAACATCAAAGATAAGCAGACACACAACCATCACCAAGAATATAGTAATTACAGGATACTCAGATAATACCTTCTATATAAAAAACAAGCAATTAGATTAGCTTCAGTGCACTTAACGATGCATAATCACCAGACATTCAATCATTCACAAAGAACATCAGCTACATTGGTAGACAAATACACATTGATAAACAAAGAGGAGAAAATTGTCATACGTAAGAGCATACCTATTTAGCGACCAATTTGGGATAATTGTCCTAGAGCAATTGTAAAGCTTGCCTAGTGGCAATATTTAGCTCCCTCTTCCTGGCCTTTGCAAATTCTTGATATCACTAACCTGAAAGATAATGCAAATTCCACCAGGACTGAAATCAAGCTTCCTAATACTTCTCTCCAAGAATTGAATCCGCCACCATAGGAACTTCATTCTCTTCTCCTCATTAGCAAAAGTCTTATTATACAACTTCTTGTTCTGAAACTCCCAGTAGAAATTGTAACACACCGGGTGACCTTCTATTACAAAGAATCCTCCTAGTCGCATGCACTTTGATTCTTTGACTACAACTTGAATTGTGAATGTAAGTAATAACATGCAAATTTAACGCATCAATCCAACTAATGCAGGTGTTGAGCATTGGATCCTGAGTTAGAGTCCATGTACCCCTCCTACCCAGCTACTTGAAGTGTCATTCAAGTTTTGTTTTTGCTCATAGGAATGAAGGACAAAGAAATAATGATGTATGTTGTGTGAATTGTGAATATGTTACTTTATATTTTTTGTTTTCTTTGCAAACAAACACCAAAGATGAGAAAAATAGGTGGGATAGTTACCATTCTTGGACATGACTCAGGGCTCTCACCCCAACCACCCTCTTCATTTTGGGTTGATAGATAAAATTGAACAGTTTGACGAACTGTTAAACTGTTTAAATAATTTTTTCCAGCAATAGCCAACCCTCCTAGCTCATAGTAGGTGCCATAGAGAAAACATATTCCCCAATAGCCATACCTGCTAGGTTTATTGTATATTAGAAAGAATTCTCCCTTCACAGCTTAATGCATGAGACTACCATCACAACTGGGTTTGAGAAACATCAGTTGTATGCATTCAAGGTCGGTTCCACCCTAGGCAAGTGAGGAGGTCACCTAGGGCCCCATTCTCGTATGTCTCATAAAATTATATGACTAAATTTTTAAAGGAGTGTAATAAATTTAGGATGTCACGTGACATGATCAATAAAATTTACTAATATTTTTTGTTGAAATCATAAATATATGTATGTTCAAAAAGAAAATAAAATCTTACAATACTCTTTTATGAAAAATTATAAAACTATACTATCTCATTTTATCTGAATTCCCAATAACTCTAATTTATTTATTCAATTTTATTTTTTTGGGATGAATAACGAGTGTGCATTAATTGAGTGTTTCACTTGCCAGAATTGGAGCAGTCTCCTATTTCTATGCTTAATAGTATATGATGAAAGTCACTAACATTTAGACTCTACATATTCTTACAATAAATAATCAATAATATTAGTAACTTATTGTAGCTTCAATCATTTCTTATTCTCATGTTTGTCAAGGTTTGTCTCTTGGAAAATAGTTTTTAGTTTTTAATTAAAATTATATATGTTTTGTAATGCTAGCCTCATAGGATTCTGCAAGTCTTGGTATTGCTACAGTAGTTTTTTATTTACTTTAAAAAGCCTTTCTTGCAAGACTTCTTTGTGTAGCAGCTGAACCAATCTTGGGTTTTCTTGATTGTTGAATTCCACATCCTTATTCTTCTATTCAACTTTATGTTTCATTTGGTTTGCTTTCTTTCTACTATAATTGAATTCTAATGATTTGGATTGGCTATGACTTTGGGGACGGAAGTTGGGGTTGTGAGTGTATTTATTATTCTTGGGCCAGTGTGGAAGGATTATATATGATTCTGCGAACATACTCAAGGGCCCAGCACTAACAGCCCACCAGTTTGAGCCAACTAGGTTCAGGGCAAAGGAGAAGGATGTTAACTGTGCATCTTTCAAAGCCAATTGGATGACTCCTATCTGAGACTACCTATTGGAAGGCGCACCCCTAGATAACCTAGTGGATGTCAAAAAGTTAAGAGTGAGAGCGTCTAGGTATGTCGTCTTAAGTGACACCCTTTACAAGAAGAGTTATTCACTACCACTACTCCACCGCCTCACCCCTGAGAAAGCATATTATGCCATAAGGGAGATGCATGAGGGGATATGTGAAAACCACTCAAGAGTGTGCACTAGCTCACAAGGTGGTAAGACAAGGCTATTACTGGCCCAGCATTATCGGAGATGCCCGTGAGTTCGTGAAGAAGTGTGACAAGTGTCAATTCTTCACAACTGTTCCTAGACAGCCACTAGAAGAGCTTGCCTAGGCCTCACCAAAAAGCCCAAAGCCCAATGAGCAGCCCACGACCTAGAAGCCCAACGAGCAGCCAGGCCCGTACACGTGGTAGGGCTTGGGTAGCCCGCTAGCCCAACTGGTAGGGCCAGGGCCGTGTTTTTGAGCGCAGGGGGCCCTGCGGGCCGACCTGTTAGCCCACCCATTCGCCAATAATAATTAGATTATATTTTATAATTGTATTGTTTATTGATATTTAATTTATAACTTTTATAGGTTGATACTTGGAAATGATTGACAATTATATAGGTGTCAACCTAATTAAGATGTACTAAATCTGTAGTGATGCAAAATAGTCTCACCCACCAATCAATTGGCAATGTAGCACTGTAACTTTATATGAATATTTGCTAAATTCATTCAATATGAATAATTTTTTTGTTAATTTATTTTTTCATTCTAACTTCATATAATTGATGTCCTTTTGTATTTTTTTACATAAAAAATAATTTTTTAATAAAAAACCCATTTCAGGCTCAATGGGCGGGCCATAAGGCCAGGCCCGTATTTAGCCTATTTTTGGCCAAATAGGCCAGCCCACGGGTGGACCATGGGCCTTAAAAATTCCTAACGGGCGGGCTCAGCCCAACCCGTTAATTAGTCAAAGCCCTTAGGCTCGGCCCATGGGTGGGCTATGGGCTGAAAAATGTCGGGCTGGGCCATTGCCGAGGCCTGAGCTCACCACCATCCTAAGCCCATGGCTTTTCTCTATGTGAGGGATCGACATCCTAGGTCCCCTACCCATGACTCGGGGTCAATTCAAATTTGTGGTAGCAGTTATTGACTACTTCACAAAGGGCAAAAGCCTAAGCCTTTTATAACAGACGAGAAAGTGAAGGACTTCATCTGGAAGAGCATAGTCTGTCACTTTGGGATACCTCATGCAATTGTAAGTGATAATGCCAAGCAATTTGATAACAAACTCTTTAATAGCTTTTGCCCCGACCTACAGATCAAGCAACTCCACTCCAGCCCAGCCCATCCACAGGTAAACGGGCAGACAGAGGTCACTGTCAGGGCTATCCTCCGCAATCTGAAGACTAGATTGGAGAGTGCAAAGGGGCAATTGGTGGAAGAACTCCTAGGAATACTATGGGCCTACCAGGATAGACTAAGAAATCCCACAGGTAAGACCCCTTTCTACTTAGCTTATGGGATAGAGGTAGCCAGACTGGTCAAAATTAGGGTACACTCCTTCAGGGTCCAACACCATGAACCTACCACTAATGAAGAAGGTCTCCGCATCAACCTCATCTTGCTAAAGGAGGAGAGGGAGATAGCCATGCTCAGGAATGCGAAGTACAAACGTCGCTTGGCCAAGTACTATAACTCGAGCGTGAAACATTGTTCCTTCTAGCCTGGGGACATTGTGACACCTCAAAATCCGGGGTTCGTTGATTACCCATTAACCCATGGAATGTCCGTGGATACTGAGTAACTGATATCTCAATGTTGTGCCCCATTTACCGGGGTCCATCCTTTATTAAAAATCTGGGCAGAGTCTCATTTGTAAGTAGAACTCTACTCAAAACACAACCTGTGCATTATATAATAACAAGACTCATCCGATGTCTAATATTCAACAATGACCACACTGGGTTCATTTATAAGTAAACATTGCTCACACTGGGTCCAATTATCCATATTCATACAAACATGCAAGACTATATTAAAAATGTCCATATAGACTCTATTACAATTCCCTTACACATTACATGCCAAAATTTAATTACAAGTCTAATTTTATAAAAAGAAATGGATTGAAAGCCACAAGTCAGCTTTTCTTCCTCCTTAAGTGCCCGAGTGAGTGTCGTCTCTTGGCGTATGACCCGTACCTGAAATATTTCCCGTATAGGGTGAGCTAACGCTTAGTAGAGTATATCCTACAAGGGCTACTCCCCACCTAAGTGCACATGCAACGTTCACATTTGACAATTCATATTCACATCAACATTTCAAGTAAGAATATGCAACTCTATATTGGAATTCACCATGCCATGCAATGAAATGAGATGAAACTCACTCATGCAACTTTAACTCGAGTACTCACCGACTCCCACAACACAATGCAACGCATATGTGTAAAACAACGTCTTTGATGAAACACATCCAAAGATCATTTTGAAATCAACCATATGTCATAAAACCATTTCATTCTTGGATGTTTCCCATCAAATGAATAATTTATATATCAAAATCATGTGCCTTTATTGGGTATCGGATTCAGTAATCGCACCTCCGGCTCCGTATGCCGTTACACTTTTTTGGCCGCCAATAAGTGTATGAACCAAGTGGCTAGGTTTTTCACCCGAGGGAGTGTCTAGCCCTACTTGCTATACCCGACACAAATTTTCTTACGCATGTAACCGTGCGACCCAGTAGGACATTCAATCCCACTTTTTTGAGCCCACCCTTCAATCACCAAGAATGACGCTTGAATGAACCATGCCCAACTCTCACACACACACATCCATACTCATGCCTAAGCCCATAAATGGGATGCCTCTATGCATTATGTTACAATGTTCAATATGCTATGAATGACATATGAACAATCTCAACATATCCATGGTAAGTTATGTTCCAAACATATAGATATCAAATTTGTCACAATGTCAATATAACACACGCATGCATATACATTGACACTTTTTTATAAAACAATTTCAAGCATGTTATCACTATCTTTATGTCAATAACACACTTAATCACAAAGGTAAATTATTACACACAATAGCCCATGTACTAGCCAGAATAACAACCCACAAAACAGCCCCTAATCAGGCACAAAATAGTCCGTAAAGTGGCTTAAAACAGTCCGTAAAATGGCCCTAAAATAGTTCATGAAATGGTCTTAAAAATAGTCCATGAATGGCCTAAAAATTGCCCATGGAATGGCCCTAAAGACAGTCCATGAATGTCTTAAAAATAGTCCATGAAATGACCCTAAAAACCGTCCATGAATGGCCTAAAAATTGCCCATGGAATGGCCCTAAAAACAGTCCATGAATGGCCTAAAAATTGCCCATGGAATGGCCCTAAAAAAATAGTCCATGAATGTCCTAAAAACAGTCCACATATAAACTAATTTCACCCATTAAAACATGT